GCATACTAAATGTGAGTTGGAATATTGCCTAGTTAAATTAATATTCTTCAAAAAGGAGATGCTGAGTTCTTTGAGAGAAAGTATGAAGTTAGAAGCTAGGGGTGCAGATTTTTAGATGATGTTTTGTTTGTGCTAGTGCCATGGACTGAATATGTGGCAAAGGCCGATGGGTGTGTCTTCATTATTTCAGTATAGACCTAGCAGATTAGGTGGCGACCTAAATACCTCCATTCTGTGGTTTTAAAATAATAGTTTTATTTTTTTCAAAATATAATTCTTCTCCCATTATCACAGTGACTGGGGCTGTGGAGAACCCTTCTTAGTGGAAATTCTTACAGGCTGGTAGCTACCATCCAGTTTCCAGTTGCCATGGAGAAGGGTTGTACTGACACTTTATAATCTTTGGCACTACATAGAGATGGACTTAAAGGTCCTAAGGCACCATGGCAGAGATAGTGGGAATTTAATTGTTTTATATTGCCTGGGTACGTAAATCTTTGGTACCTAAATTTTAGAAGTACATTTCCCAGTGACCTATGCATGCATGTATGACAGCGGCCAAAGCATGCAGCCCCAGGGATGTCTGCAGCCTCGCAGGTCACTGACCATTGTGAGTCCTGACCTTCCTGGCTGGTTTGGCCTTTACCACATTTTCCAGGAGGAAAGATTGTTGCCTTCTTTGTTTCATAGAATCATATTGCAGTCATTTCAGAAATCCTCCACAGGTGCTTTTCCTTTATGATTTTGGTTTTAGACAGTAAAACCTGTTGGGATGTGAAATATTAATATTTAGCAGTTTACATGAAGGAAGGAGAGAGTTGGGCAGGCTCAGGGCTTTCTAAAGGTAACAGCTGTTGCTTTTTCATCGCCCTGCTTCAAAGTGCTCGCGATTGGCAGATGCATATGAATTGGAATGTACACACCTGTCAGATGAGTATTAATAGAGACAAGCAACACACTTCTTCTACAGTTTGTGAACAAAACAGCTGCTAGCTGGTAATGTCCTAAAAGGACTGTCTACTCTAGTTACCCTAGGATCAGTGACCTAGGGGTGAAGGCTTCTCTATCCTATTATTACACTCTGAGTCATCCAGACTTTTATGGCTAAAAGTGTAACCTACTTTTTTCCCCTTTACACCTTAAAGCTACCTGCATATTTTTAGAAACTGTCATGTTCAATATGGAGTTTGCACGCAGCTCCTTCACACAGGTGAATTTACAGATCCTGTCATGCCAGGTGTGATTTTGGTAGTCCTGAAAATGTGAGGAATGAGACTGAACACTGTTAAATCACTCTACCACTTTGAAAAATGAGAATTAAGGCGTATGTAAGTTTATTCTTCTGTGTACAGAATGAGTGTGTGTGTGCGTGTGTTTGGAGTGTGTGTGTGTGTAACATTTGCTCCCACCCCTGCTGACTCATGCACTTTTTTTCCTCTTCTGTCTCTTTTATGATAGCCCTTTTAATAATGTCTTCATTTCCCTTTAATAATTTTTTTCTTTTTTTTCTTACTTTTTCAAAATTTGATTTTGAATGGCACTTGACTTCTACAGAAGAATCAATCCCCTGTCAAGGGCTGATTTCTGGGCCAGCAGGACCTGGTCCGGGCTCTGCCTGGGCGTCTCCCTTCCCATCTCTTCCAACATCTGGAGATGACAGTGCCACGTGGAAAAACCCTGCGTTGTGGGCCACTGCCTACCAGATCTCAAATAACAAGACTAGTACTGCTTACCTCAGGCGTCAGCTGAAACCTTTAGAGTACTGATTTTTTTTCCTAGAGTAGAGCTCAACTTTCATACTTGAAGGCTCTTCCTTACTCCTCGTGTGAGAGACAGAAAAAGGAAAACATTAGAACTTGAGCTCCTAACTTTTTATTAAGAATTTGTGTTGGGCATGTAGACAGATACTTGAGTGATAATTTCTTATAATTAATTAATTTATTTATTAAGGTACCATTGACCATTTAACAAACCTTTATTGGTTACCTGCATGTCAAGGGCCTTGAGATACTCTGTAAAT